GAGCTGCACTGGGTGGGGGGGAACGTATGCGGGCGGCAAAACAAGGGCCGTCGGGCGAACTCCCTATGGGGCCACGAAACGCCGTACTGGGTGGGGTGAAAATGCAAAATCTGACGCACGCGGGCGGTCCCAGTGGTGGTTTCGGTGGAGCTCCCTATGGGGCCACGAAGCGTACGAGGGGTGTGCCAAATTTGGTTTCCGGGACGCGCGCGGGCGGTCCCAGTGGGGGCTTCGGCGGAGCTCCCTATGGAGCCACGAAGCGTTGTACTGGGTGGGCGAAAATGCCAAATTGGGTGTCGGAGACACGCATGCGGACGGTCCCACTGCTTCGGTGGAGCTCTCTACGGGGCCTCGAAACGCCGTAGTGGGTGTTGCGAGAATGCCAAAATTGTGTTTCAGGGACGCACGCGGACAGTCCCAATGGGGGCTTCGGTGGGGTTCCCTATGAGGCCACGAAGCGCCGTACTGGGTGGGGTGAACGTGCCAAATTAGATATCCGGGACGCACGCGGACAATCCCAGGGGTTTCGGTGGGTCTCTCTATGGGGCCACGAAGCGCTGTACTGGGTGGGGGGGACGCATGCGGACAGTAGCACTGGGACCTTCGGTGGGGCTTTTTATGGGGCCACGAAGCGCTGCACTGGGTACGGAGGACGCATGCGGACGGTAGCAGTGGGACCTTCGGCGGGGTTCCCTGCGGGGCCACGGAACGCTGTACTGGGCGTGGGGGACGCAGGCGGACGGTAGCACTCGGACCTTCGGTGGGGCTCTCTATGGGGCCACGAAGCGCTGTGCTGGGTGGGGGGGACGCATGCGGACGGTAGCAGTGGGACCTTCGGCGGGGTTCCCTATGGTGGGGGGACGCATGCGGACGGTAGCACTTGGACCTTCGGTGGGGCTCCTTATGGGGCCACGAAGCGCTGTACTGGGCGGGGGGGACGCATGCGGACGGTAGCGCTGGGACCTTCGATGGGGCTTTTTCTGGGGCCACGAAGCGCTGCACTGGGCACGGAGGACGCATGCGGACGGTAGCACTGGGACCTTCGGCGGGGTTCCTTGCGGGGCCACGGAACGCTGTACTGGGTGGGGAGGACGCACGCTGACGGTAACATTGGGACTTTCGGCGGGGTTCCCTATGGGGCCACGAAGCGCTGTACTGGGTGGGGGGGGCGCATGCGGACGGTAGCACTGGGACCTTCGGTGGGGCTCCCTATAGGGCCACGAAACGCTGTACTGGGTGGGGGGGACACATGCGGACGGTAGGGAGGAGGGGGAAAAAGGAAGAGAGGAGGAGAACGCGGGGACAATCTCTTCAAAACGAGGACCCAACACCACAGGATGGTTGGGAACAACACGTGTCCTCTTTTGCGCGAGTGCGTCGTTGCTTGTACAATGGCCCGTGGTCTCGATGGCGCGGGGTCTTTTCCGTTTGTACACAGGGCGGTCGCCTCGGGGGTGCGGACCAGTTTTCCAGACGGCGGATCATGGCCTCGAACGCGTGGGTCTGTTGTGTGGTGTTTTGCGGAGGGGGCCGTTGCCTCGAAGCGCGGGCTTCCCGTGTTCTTGTGCAAGGGATCGTGGACTCGGTGCGCGGCATGGGAGGCGCGGAGCGACAAGATATCGTGGTTTCGCAGGCGCCAGTCCACAGTCTCTTATTCGGCGGCGAGCCCAGGGGGAAGTGAAGGGAGGGATTTTTCAGAAGGTTCGGAAGGCCTCTGGTCTTCTCAGAAGTTTTCTAAGCCGTCTCCGGAGACGCAAAACCTCTCAGAAGGCGCGAGGGCTGCTGAGAAGCCTCGCCGCCTTTGACAAGCCCTGTCCCCTCTCACTTCGCCCCCGGGCGCGCCGGCTAGTTATGAAAGGGTCTTTGCACCAAAGCCGCGGATCCATAGGTTCTTATGAGGGAGTAGCTCTGAAAGCGTGGACCCTGTTGTTCCCAACCATCCTGTGGTGTTGGGTCCTCGTTTTGAAGAGACGGCGCCCCGCGTTCCTCCTCTCCTCTCCTCTCCACCTCCCCCTCCCCGTCCCCCTCCCCCTCCCTCCTCCCCCTCTTCTTTACGTTTCACCCACCCAGTACAGCGTGTCGTAGCCCCATAGAGAGCTCCACCGAAGGCCCCCAGTGCCACCGTCCACATGCGTCCGCCCCACTCAGTACAGCTTTTCGTGCCCAGTGCCACCGTCCACATGCGCCCCCCCCACTCAGTACAGCGTTTCGTGGCCCCATAGGGAGCTCCACCGAAGGCCCCAGTGCCACCGTCCACATGCGTCCCCCCCACTCATTACAGCGTTTCGTGGCCCCATAGGGAGCTCCACCGAAGGCCCCAGTGCCACCGTCCACATGCGCCCCCCCCACTCAGTACAGCGCTTCGTGGCCCCATAGGGAGCCCCACCGAAGGCCCCAGTGCCACCGTCCACATGCGTCCCCCCCACTCAGTACAGCGCTTCGTGGCCCCATAGGGAGCTCCACCGAAGGCCCCAGTGCCACCGTCCACATGCGCCCCCCCCACTCAGTACAGCGCTTCGTGGCCCCATAGGGAGCCCCACCGAAGGCCCCAGTGCCACCGTCCACATGCGTCCCCCCCACTCAGTACAGCGTTTCGTGGCCCCATAGGGAGCTCCACCGAAGGCCCCAGTGCCACCGTCCCCATGCGCCCCCCCCACTCAGTACAACGTTTCGTGGCCCCATAGGGAGCTCCACCGAAGGCCCCAGTGCCACCGTCCACATGCGCCCCCCCCACTCAGTACAGCGTTTCGTGGCCCCATAGGGAGCTCCACCGAAGGCCCCAGTGCCACCGTCCACATGCGCCCCCCCCACTCAGTACAGCGCTTCGTGGCCCCATAGGGAGCCCCACCGAAGGCCCCAGTGCCACCGTCCACATGCGTCCCCCCCACTCAGTACAGCGCTTCGTGGCCCCATAGGCAGCTCCACCGAAGGCCCCAGTGCCACCGTCCCCATGCGTCCCCCCCACTCAGCACAGCGTTTCGTGGCCCCATAGAGAGCTCCACTGACTTTCGTTTCTGATTCCTATCAGGGGGGGAAATTCTGGCCAGCGCTGGGTCACAGCCCTTGTGGTGTATAATGTATAACGGGGAGCGCTCGGCGATTTTCAGTTTGACGTCGAAAGGAGGGGTGAGCTGTTCGCCATCGCCGGAGAGGCCCTTTTGCGTGTAGTCCCAGAGCGCTTTTTCTGCGGTGGACATCCACCCAGATTGAAGAGCTCGAGCGTTATGACAGATGTCCATAGACTCGGAAACATTTCTCCTTACGCCACACCCACGGCTCCAAGAACAACCGAAAGACTAACGAATCCTTCCTCGCCCAACCCCGTCCGCCCCACCGGACATGTGGTCTAAACGCGCACCCCTATGAAATTCTAAACGGGCTCGCGCCAGGGGGAGGCGGAGGTGATCCACTCCTTTGATTTGATTTTTCTTATGGAGAGTGGGGGGAGCCTGGTTTGGGCGATTCTGCTTGGGATGTCCTCAGAATCTGCCTGATTTGGGCACTGGTTTGGCCTGGTTTTGTCTGGTTTGGGTTGGTTGGGCGGCGCAAATCGCCTGAGACATCCTCCGAATTTGACTGGTTTGGCCCCTGGTTTGGCTTGGTTTGGGCCCACTTTTGCCCGAGACGTCCGCACAGTTCGTTTGGTTTTGCTTTGTTTGGGCCCGGGTTTGCTTGAGACGTCCTCACAAAACTTGTGTGGTTTTGCGTTTTGCATGAGACGTCCTCACAATTTGCTTGGTTTGGCCTGGTATGGGCACGGTTTTGCTTGAGACGTCCTCGCATTTTGATTTGCTTGTCCTGGTTTGGATTTGGTTTCGCTTGAGACGTTCTCACAATTTGACCGGTTTGGCCTGGTTTGGGCCCAGTCTCGCCTGAGACGTCCTCACAATGTGCATGGTTTGGGCCCGGTTTTGCTTGAGACGTCTTCACAATTCGCCTAGTTTGGCTTGGTTTGGGTCCAGTTCTGCTTGAGACGTGCTCACAAGTTGTTTTGTTGTGCTCAGTTTGGGTCTAGCTTTGCCTGAGACGTCCTCGCAATTCGCAAGGTTTGGCCTTGGTTTCCGCGAAGCTCTTGCAACGCCCCTGGTTCGACCTCGCACGCTGCGCGGATATCAGGAGAAATCTCCGCAAGTTGCCCGGTCTTGGGCGCGGGCATGCACCGACTGCATCTTACACGTTCCCATTCTCCTCCTCCTCCCCCTCCGCCCCCCCCCCCTCGTGCACATTCGCAATGTCTTCATCTTCCCCCACACACGGACGGTATGGCCCCTGGGTGCTCCCAATACACAATGAGTGTTGACGCTGTGTGCATGACACCGAACTAGCATTTCACACACGTCGTGGGTTCAAACGCGCGAAACAGGATTGTGTGTTCTGAACACATATGCGAGCCCGCATTCTGCAGTGTCGTTCTACAGTATAAACGGGGCAGTGGTTGCGGACATCCGAAGCGCAGTGTGTTCGGCCACTATACCACATAGCGCAACCATCGCTCACACAGCCTGTCATGCGGCATTGGACCATGTGGCGGTGTTAGGAGAAAACCTTTCCGAGTCTGTAGTTGGGCTCCAGGCGGGAGGTGTTTGAGATGGCTCAACAGTGCTCCAACAGGTTTCCAGACCTAGCGTTTCCTGGAGGCATCCAGTGATGGCAATGGCGATTAGCGTGTTGACGACGATATCGATGACGGCGACCACGGTGACATTGGGAATAATGACGATGTCGGCAAGTACGATCATGGCAACGGCAACACTAGCGGCGACCACGACGATGATTGCGAAGATGATTAGTAACCATGTTGACAGCGACGACGACTGCGAGGACGTGGTGACGAAGTTGGCAATGGTGGCCCCGATAAGAATGAATGCGATTGCGATGACGATAACGGTCACGAATAATATGGTGATGACGACGACGCCAACGATGTCGGACACAACAATGATGATGTTGGTTGCCCAGCGCACCAGACCAGCGATGCATGGCGTGTGGGCCCGTCGCAGGACGAGACGTGCGAGCTGACACACCATGTGGGGCAGGAGGGCCTCATAGACCTCGAGGCGGCTTCTCTGACTTGCCGCCGACCCTCCGGCCCTTCACCGCCTCTGAGTGCCCCCACCCAGTCGTCGTCCCTTCGTGCCAGTACTCCTTATCCAGTCGTCGTCGTGCCTATTCTATTTCCCCCTCGTCTACCCATCATCTTCCGCAGTGGTCCCTTTCTCCATTTGAATATGTACACCCTTGCTCAGAGCCCCGAATCGTCAGGGCTTGGGACAGATTCGCGCCTCGGGGACTCTAACTGGATTTATCCCGGACCGCAGTTATCCTGGATAATTCGTGCGTCCAACCTTCCCGAATCATCAGGGCTGGGGGCAGTCAGGGGAAACTACATATTCGTGCCTCGGGAGCCCAAGCCGGAGTTACCCCGACCGCAGCTATCCTGGATAATTCGCGCGTCCAGTTACCCCCCCCACCCTCCCCCTCTCCCGCTCTGCCGAATATGCCCTCCCCCATATTCGATTACCCCCCATCCTTCATTCCTTCGCCCCTCGCCGGACATGCCCGCTTCCATCGTTGTGCTGCTGTCGCCGCAACTCCTCCTCCTCCTTCTCCTCCTCCGCGACATCGTGGCCGCGCAAGAAGTTCACGAGCCCGATCCGATACGATCTTTCTTCTCCGCCCGCCCCCCACCTCTGCCGAAAACCTTTGAATCTATCCAGAGGCCCTCCCAATCCTATTCCAGAAACCATGCCCATGGCCAAACCTTCCCAATCCTATTCTAGATGCCGATGCTCATGCCCACGGCCCAAGCCCATTCATTTCCTATCTAGAGACCCTCTCAAACCCCACCAACCCATCCAGAAACGATGCCCAAGCGAGTTGCCCTGATCAGGGATGTGAAGAGGCACGCAGTGGCACAACGGGCTGAGGAAGCCGTTATACCCCAAGAAGGGGAGGATGGAGGAGGAACCGGATGAGGAGGAGGGGAAAGGGGAGGGGGAGAAGGGAGGAGGGAGAAGAAGGAGCATGTGGAGAAGGAAGAGGAGGGCTTGCAGAATGGCCAGAGGCCGCTTGGCTGCCTGTCGGAGTCTCTTCGGATGTCGCCCAGCCCGGCGATGGCGCTCGACGAGTCGTGCGCAGGCACGGGGTCCCCTGCGCTGGCGTTCTGGTCGCCACGGCCCGAGGCTCAGGGACAACGACCAGGGGCGGGCTGGCCCAGGGAGCTGGGAGGTCTTGGTGGCCTCTTGCCGGTCCTGGAGGCCTCTTGACGTGTCTTGGCGAGCCTCTTGAGGCCTCTTGCGGATCTCCTGGGAACCTCTTAGGTCCTCCTGGGGGTCTCTTGGGGCCTGCTGGGCGCCTTTGGGCTCTCGTGGGGCACTCTTGGAAACCTTGGGGGGCATCTTGTGGCCATCTTGAAGGAGACCGAACTTGCCCCAACATCTATGTCAATCCAACGATTGTTGCCTTCTTGCCGAGGCCGTCTTGGACGCTCCAACGGGTCGTGGGGCGTCCCGTCCAGGTCCATGTGGTAGGGAGTAGAGGCCGCCACGCGCGCGGGAACTAGAAGCACCAAATTCTGTTATCGGAGATTTTGGCACGCCTCTGGCCCGTGGGGCTTGCGAATTAGCTGCTGGAAGCTGATCGGTTACGAGGAGGGGTGACCTTTCGCTGGATTGACCGTTGGTGCGGGCCCACAGGGTCCCCTCAACCCCCAACATTGGCCTGCACGCTTGGATTTGACATCCCAGCGGCCACCTGAGGCTGCGAACGAAAGGTCACTCTCACAAGACGAATGCGTGTGGCGCTCAGACGACAGCCACATTTTCAACACTACCCGCCTTCGATTGTAAACGAAAGCGTTGAAAACGAATGTGCTTTATGGTAAGGCGAGATCCGCATTTTGACCCGCCCTTCATCTTTGCAGCTGGACATGTCAATTGTAAGGACCGTCCATGGTGGGGACGTCTTACGCGACACGTCCGGCCCCCGATTGACACGTCTGGAGGTTCGTAAAGAAGGAGGCTTCGCGCGCTCCGCCGTCACATTGTGCATCACCGTCGCCACCTGCTTGTGCTCTTGGCGGCTGGGAAGATGCTGGGTGGTGGCAGCTATCCAGTGCAGTCGTGTGAAGCTTGAGCGCGTGAGAAGCATACGGAACGCGTTCCCACCCAAGATTCCCCATCGAAGCCCGAAAGCATCAGAAGGCAATGTTCGGGGCAGAACAACACGCTTAGGTTTGATACTTTCGTAGGTTGTCGGAGCAGATTGGGGACAGGAGGATGTCGGGCGACGACGCACGATAACGAGGAGGACGAGCCGCTGTCCACGGCTCGGTCAGTTCGTTACTCCGTGGCATGTGTCTGCGTGTGGTGTCGGATCCCCAGAATGGCGACGTTTTTCTTCCGCTCTTGAAGCGTTCGATCGACTCGACAGGTCCGCGCTGCAGGGCAGCCTCCTCCTTTCAGACAGCCGCGAGAGGGGAGGGGGACGTCGACCACGAGAATGACGAGGAACGCGCCGTGTGGCGAGCAGCACGCATCGGGCGATACTAGCACGAGGATCCATCCAATCCAGAGCGTTTCGCAAAGCTCTCAGAGCGTTGCGGAACGCTCTGAGAAGGCCGCGGCGCCCAAGACATCCTCCGGAGCCGCCGGATCTCAGAGACTCGATTTGTCTCCCCCGAATATCACCTCGTCCTGGCTTCGTCTCAACGCATCTCGCGCCGCCTGGGGGGGCGCTGTCTGCCCCACCCTGGCCTGGCCGCCGCCGCCGCCCCGCCTCCCCGCGGCCGAGATCGTCAGCGTGGCCTGGAACGCCACAGGCTGGGAGGGGGCTCTGCGGGCCAGGCCGCCGGGGGGTGGGGAGCAGGCGGAGGAGGGAGACGGGGAGGGGGCCAAGCTTCGGCGGCGAGGGAAGGGGGGAAGTGAGAAGGAGAAGGTTAGGAAGTCCCCCTGGCCTTCTGAGAAGTGTTCTATGCATTCCCCGAAGACAAACAGCACTTCTCAGAAGGCGCGAGGGCTTCTGAGAAGTCCCACCGCCTTCTGAGAAAGCCGTCTCCTTCTCATTTCCCACCCTCGCTCGCCGCCGACCGCCAGGTGCGCTCGCGCCGCCTCATCTGTTATCGTGTCCCTCCCAGTCTCATCCCTTCCCAAAGGCGCTGATGTTTCATCATCCACGGAGGCGTGTCATAGCCGATCTGCGACTCCCAAGGAAAGACCACTTTGCGTCGTGCGCAATCGGAAACTGGGGAATTGCGTGCACAGGAGTAGGAGGTGACGGGTTAGCAGAAGGATGAGCGGGAGGAATATGATGAGGACGAACAGCAGCAGCATGAATGAAAGTGGGAGGATCGGGAGGAAAAGGAGGACCAGGGGAAGGCAGGGGAGGGGAAATGAGGGGGGCACCAACGATGAACAAATATTCGGATTCAGAACATTGGCCCACGCTGGGGCGAGACGAACACCAGCAGCAGGAATTGGAGGAAGGAGCGGGAGGAACAGTATAGCAAGTAACATGCAGATGAGGCGGAATGGGAGGGTACCACAATGAAGCAAGACTCGTATCCAGGAAAGTGACCCGTGTTGGGGCGAGAGCGCCATTCTGAACGACGGGGGCAACAGCACCAATCCGAAAATGAGGCCCACGCTGCAGCGGGAACAGCATTTGGACACACTGACCGCAATCGGACTGCAGAACGCCATCACATAAAACACTTGTAGAACAACAGAAACGCACGTGGGGGCGGGAGATCTTCCTGACAACTTCAGGGGAGGAGGGAGAGTACTATTATTTTTGTTTCAGTTGTAGAGGAGGGGGCGGGGTGTGGGGGAGGAGAGAGCGGAGGGAGCGGAGGGAACGGAGGCAGGATTGAGGGAGGAACGGGGCGGGGGGGAGGGACGGGAACGGGAGGGTGAGTGAGTGAGATCAGTCGCGAAGCGAATCCGAATGAACTAGGAGCCCCGACGAGCGAGCTCGGCCCGACTCCGAACATTGGGCAATTGCCTTTCAGAGGTTCTGGAGTAACTATTCGTCTCGATGTGAGTTCGTAGTCTTGGGGCATTTCAGCCCACGACCTGACCATCCGACGAGCAGCATAGCCGCAGCTCGAACACAACCAGAGGGGAAGGGGGAGGGGACGGAGGAGGGAAATGGGGCAGCGTTTGGGGGGCGAGTGAGGAGGGGCAGGGGCGTGCTTGAGCCCCCCCCCCCCGCCGCCGCCCCGCTCCCTTGCCGCCCGCGGGCGAACCTCCTTCCTGCCCTGTGCCTTCGCGCTGCCCGCCCGAGAGCGGCCAACCTCGGAGGGTGTGGGTTGCACTGGGAGGCCCAGCGGCCTATCGTGTGGGGCCAGGACAGAGATACATTATTCCAGGGTGGGTTTGCAAGGCTCTCACCGCGCGCCCGATCGCTCTGAGAAGGCCGCGGCGCCCGATACTTCCTCTGGAGCCGCCAGAGCTCAGAGATCTCCGATGCGTCCCAGTCCTATTTTGTCCCTGTCTTGGCGTCGTCTTGGACCAGGACCGTGGAGATTGCTCCTTTATAGGCTCTAGGGATTACGCTTGCTACCCCGCCCCCATGCCCCCCCTCGTCACGGCAACGCTTTGGAAACAGCTACAGGCGCGAGAGAGGAACATCGGGGAAAGTATGCAACAAGTTCTGAAATCTTGGAATTCGTGTATACGTATTTCTGCCCCCTTTGGCCCCTTCAAGGAGGATGACCCATCCGTCATCCGACGTCGCAGGCTTCTTCCTGGGCGCGAGCCCCCCAGTAGCCCTCGACCCCATCCCTCGGACCAGACTTCTCTCGCGAGGGATAGTAGTCGGTCCCGAGGCCCGAGGCGGGCCTCCAGATGCCGACGGCGCAACACAGGATCCCCGCCGCCTTTTTTGCCCGCGACGGCGGGAGAGCCAGAGCAGGAGAGGCAGCAGCAGGAGGAGGTGCAGCGGGACGCGGGTCAGTGGCTTCCAGGGTATACGCAAGGGCAGGGATCGTAGCAACGCGTGCGCGCGCACACACACACACACACACACACCACCTGCGCGTCCTGTCAATATGCTTCGCACGCGCATCCTGCGAGTCTACGCGAACGTGTCTAGTCAGCGGAAGTAAGTGTGGTGCGACTGTCGTCCTTGTGCACTTGTTCGCTCGGTCCTGTGAATGTGCCTGTCTCCGATGCACCTGTCGCAACATCACCTACCTTACAAATTTGCGTTCATACTCTTGCGCCTGAGCGCTCAGGGAGGAGAAGGGAGAGGAATACGAGGAACGGCAGCGGGAGCGTGAGTAACAGCGCTGGCGCGTGAGCAGGATGACCACCAGCACACCAGCATCCCACAAACCAGCAGATCTTGCACCCCCCCCTGGTGGCGGTAGTGAGTCCGCCCCCCTCTCCATCAGATTGGTGGTCCTCGGCCCGGGGACGGGAGGCGCGACGCTGGCGTGCTCCTATGGCAGGCTCGACACGCTCGGGTGGTGCGACATCTCTGGCCCAGTCTGCTGCTGGAGGCCATCACCGCCACCCACCGCGCGCCGGGGGTGACCCGCGGAAGGCTTCGGGCTGGTACAGTCGGATCTCGGCCAGAAGAGCATCCCTCGAGAACATGAGGCCCTCCGTCGGCCAAGACCAACAGAGAATCCAAAGGTACCCTCCCCAGGATGCACAACAGCATCCAACAGGCACGACGAACACCAGCGTACCATCGCCAAACCGACCTCCATCTTATACCTCGGTCCGACTGTAAGGCTTCGGACTGCGCTTCGTGTCTCAACACCCTGACGCCGCCTTCGGCCCGATGACGCCAGCTGGGCCAGCCGTCGTTGGAAGTATTTAGGTGTTTTCGGATTCCCAGACCCCAATCTACTCAGGCACGGTCCTACTTCAAGAGTCGAGTGGTTGTCCCTCTTCCATCCTCTCCAGGGGGCGGGCGGAAGCCCAATCTACGTTCAACGCCTTCCTGCTTGATCTTTCTACCCACTTCTTCCGATCGACGTGTACTCTGGGGGCCTGTGAGGCCCGTAGTCTTCATCAGGTCAGGCCTGGCGTGCTGACAGGAGATGCCCAGGCCCAGGGGCAGTGGCCACAGGGGGTGCCAAGAAGGCTTCTGCTCCCGTGTGAGGCCCCGACGGGAGGCCCGAGGTTGCCAGACGGCGGCCCAAGACGAGGCCCCGACGCTAGGCCCGACTTGGAATCTTGGGGCACATGCGACCACCCCGAGAGGAGGAGCAGGAGGAGGAGGAGGAGGAGGAGGAGGAGGAGGAGAAAGGAGGAGGAGGATGAGAAGCATGAGAAGCGATAGGAGCATGAGCACGAGGAGGAAGAGGCGCAGGGCAGGAGGATGGGGAGGATTGGGAAAGCTGATTGTGGGCGAGGACGAGCATCCAGTTGCAGTGTGGCCGTTCTGACTTGGTCTTGGCGTGGCCCTTGAATGCAGAATGCAAGCATGGCGACAGGCCAAGGAGGGTGGGAGGATTGATAATGGAGGAAGGACCAGGGAAGGCGGAGGAAGAGAACGGCCGATGGGGTGACGGGGAGCTGGAGGCGGAGGGGGAGGGAGGGTGGCGGAGGGAGGAGAAGGACGGTGGAAGGGGGATGAGAGGGTGGCAAAGGCGAGGTGGAGGGGGGCAAGGGGAAGGGAGTTAGGACAGTGGCAGAGAAGAAAAACATGCACATGGCACAGCGGGGCACTCGCGTGCCCCTCGGAGGGGTCGAAGGAGTAGCCCTGCGCCGCCTCCTCTCGTGCGCGCGGGGCTCAGAGGCTCATAAGTCCAAGAGCCTCGCGAAACCGCAGGCGGCCTTGCGGGAGCGCAGGGCCCAGCGAGGTCGCAGGCGGCGCATGCGATCGCGCTATGTGGCCTGGAATGGACAGCGCGAAGATGGCCTCCATACGCCCCCACAAGTCTTCAAGATAGCCTCCAAGTCTTGCAGGATAGCTTCTCAGGGCCTCTCAGTGCCAGAATTCATACATTCTGCTGGGGTGCTTGACTGATGTTCGCGTTACCGCTTGTCCGTCCTCCGACCGCCCAAGACGAACTTTCCGGCCCTGTTGGAGAAGAAAAAAACAAAAAAGTCCTCCGACCGCCCAAGACGGCCCTGTCGGCTTCCAAGATTACCACAATTTGAGCCAAGACGCCTCCAGGACGGCCACGAGACGGTCGCTTTTCGCGCACCGCGGCTTGGGATGGAGAGGCACCTTTTGCCAGGGCGGCGGCGCGAGGGCGCGAAGACAACCGCACGTCGCGCATCGAGGTGGCGCGCTGCGCGAAGTTAGGTGGCCTGGGCGAGCGGCTTTTGTCCAGGATGGCCCGCGCGAGGACGCGTAGGCCCGCCGCGCTGCCCAGAGCGCGCAGGCAGGCGGCCCAGGGGAGCCGACCTGGTTGACGCAAAAGGGGTTCCAGCGAAAAGAGGGTGCTTCAATCGATCAGTGGGGTTGCAATAGATTTGGGGTGTGCAATACCTGCCAGTGCGCTGATGCATTGCTCGATTTTTCCGCGTGCAATGCATCAGCTGTAATAGAATGCAGTGCACTTCTCTGGCGCAGTGCATCTGCAACACAATTGCCCCAAATCTATTGCACCCACCCCCTTTCAGCTGGACACCCTGTTGGGTCAACCAGAGTCAAGCGCCTCCCGAGGGGTCCGCCAGGCGGGAGCCCCAGAGAGGCCGCATCCCGCCGCCGGCCCGACCGCTGGGGCTTCTTGGGGGTCTTTTGGGAGACTCGGGGGGGCATCTTGGGGTCCTCTTGGGGGCCTCTGGGGGACCTCCTGGGCACCTCTTGGGGCGGGCCGTCTTGGGGTACCGGAGCCTCGGGGGCCATCCTGGGGCCATCTTGGAGGAGATCGATCAAAGGAGGGGGGACTCGTTGATTAGGGCCCCCCCAGGAGGCCAACATGTAGTTAAAGCCTGAGCACATTCAATGATTTTAGCCTTCTCGCCCAGGCCTCTTGTGGCGTATTGGATGCGTCTTGGGAGCCTTTTGGGGGGGCCTCTTCGGGGGATCTCTTTGGAGCCTCTTGGGGCACTCTAGGGATCTTCTGGAGCCACCTTGGAGGACATCGATCCAAGAAGGGGGAGGTTCCAATTAGCCCCTCCCTCAGGAGGCCATGTAGCCAGAACCTTCGTAAAACAATGATTTAGCGTTCCTCGCCGAAGCCATCTTGGAAGCTCCAACACCTGACGAAACGCCCCTTCAACCCCAGGGGGAGGGGAGAGAGGGAAGGGGAAAACCCCTCCCCGAAGGGGAAGAAAGGGGTTGGAAGAGGAAACTCTCTAAACCACTCTGTAAAACCACTCACGCCCTGAAGGACTGGTAGGATTGCTTACGTACGGAATCGCCGTAAGAACCCCATGGTGCAAGGCATTGCTTGGGGACGCCCAAGTGGGCAGTCATTCGACAGCTGGGCACCGCGCTAGAGAAAATACTTCCTCCCCCCCTCGTCCCATTCCTCCTTACCCTCCTCTCCTGACGGCCGCCGAGCTTGGGCAGGCTGGACCCCCAGCAGGTTGGCCAAAAAGCCCAGAACGCCATAAGAGTATACAACACTCGCCACCTCGAGGAGGAAGAGGAGAAACTGGAGGAGGAGGAGGAGGACAAGGAGGAGGAGGAGGAGGAGGAGGAAAATGACGACGGCGACCCTCTTGTCCTCCCGCCGATGCCCAGCCTCTTCCGCACCCAGTCCGGGTCGGCCGCGCCGGACACCACCATCCGGGTGCCCGCCTCTGCAGCGGGCACGGGGCAGCAGCAGCAGGAAGAGGGCTTCTAGTGGTCAGCGGAGGATCATATTCTCTCAGCGCTACCATCCCCTCGTCGCCGCAACTGGATGCGTCTCGAAATTCTAGTCAGATCGCACCCCTGGAGAGGTCCAGGAAGTAGCGATCGCGGTAAGTTTGGAGCCCCCAACTGCGTATCGCGGAGGGATGAGGTCGAGTCGGGTAGGAGCGAAGTATACGGAGGAGGAAGGAGGAGGATGCAGGAGGAAAAGGGTGGGAGGGGGAGGAGGAGGAGGAGGAGGAGGAGGAGGAGGAGGAGGAGGAGGAGGAGGAGGAGGAGGAGGAGGAGGAGGGAGGAGGAGGAGGGGAGGAGGTGGAGGAGGAGGAGGAGGAGGAGGAGGAGGAGGAGGTGTAGATGGAGGAGGAGGAGGAGGAGGAGGAGGAGGAGGAGAAGGAGGAGGAGGAGGAGGAGGTCAGGCGCTACCTCTCGACGTGGGGGGGGGGGCGGGTGGCTGCGAAGGCGCTCAGGCGGAGCGCCCGTCCAGCCTTGTCGGACGCGTATCCCGCGACGGAGTTTGCTTCCAAGTCTACGCACACGCCACCGCCGAGAGTGGTGACCTCGGGTCCACGCACTACCAGGCCAATGCAGTCTGCGAGACGCATGCCAGCTGGAGACGGCCGAGAATCACCAACGATCGTGGAGATTCCCGACAAAATGCGCGTCGGTTGGCGCCCACCGCGCGCAAGAGGGGGCAGGCTTCTGCCAAGGGCATAGCCATCCCCTTGGCTTACCCCAGGTACAACCACAGCCGCTGGTGCCACAACCACTCGCTCGACTCGGGCGACAACGCTGAGCACAGCAAGGACAGCAAGACAATCGAGGCCAGCAACGGATTGCAATTTTCGGCCTGGGCTAGGACGAGGATGAATCCGTTCCAGAGCGTTCCAGCACGCTCTCAGAGCATTCGGGAACGCTCTGAGAAGGCCGCGGTGCCCGATACGCCCTTCAGAGCCGCTGGATCTCAGAGATTGTCTGTTTATCCTCTCCCGAATTTGACCTCGCCCTGGCGTCGCCTTACATCTTCAACCAGGATGGCGCAGAGTGTTTCCCGGGGGCCCTCAATCTTCGCACCCTCCCCGCCGCCATCCCGGCCAGAGACGTCGCCGCCCCCGGCGGGTCCGCGACTACAATCGGTGCGGTTACGCCGGGATGCGGTTTGCGAGTTGCTTTGTGGCGGCCTTTCCCGGGCCTTCGTGAGAGTGTCGTAAAGTTGTCGTCGTTTCGAGCGACATTGTCATCGTCGATGTGTGCTCCACCGTGCTAGAAGGAGCGACAGAGTCATGTGATTCGGTCGCATTGAGTGACAGTGTCATCCGTTTCCCGGGGGCGGGGGGGGGCAGATATGACTGGAGGCAAACTGCACCCTTCTCAAACCGCACCCATTGTATTCGCCGAGCGTGGCCCACCCCGAGCAGGATCACGTGGAGGCGGTTGCTGCGATTGTTTTGCGAGAGGCTTGGCATCGCTCGGACGAGTGCCCCTTTCGGGGTCGACCAAGCGGGGAGTGATGACTAGGGGCGTGTGTGGATATATCATGGCGGGGGTCATGGTATCCCCCCAGTTTTCATGGTGCCTCTTCTTGTTTCATTACGTCCGTGGGTCCCCCCCTGGGCCGCGCACATGCCGCCGGCCATGATTTGCGCCCCCCCCTCTTTGATGCCCACCTCTTGGCCGCCCCTGGTCTTTCTCCTCGGCGAGGACCATCGAGGAGCACTCTGGATCATCCAGCAGAGAACACGCACGAAGCCACAAAGTGCACTTGCACCAGACATCCGAGCGGTGGCGAGGAAGCCATCGTGCGGACGACGCCCGGCGCCGACCAGCCCACCTTCGAGACCGGGGGCAACACCCACTTCTTGCTTCTGGGCGTCAGGAACGGGGTTTCAGTTAGGGCGCCAGAGCTGGCAGGATCTGCAGCGCCAGAGGAGCACTGACCCGGGCTTGGGTGCAGGCTCCTGCAGGATCTTGCAGGATCCTGCAGGGCCCGACTGATCCGGGTTTGGATTGCCCCGAGTCAGCGCGTCCACTATGCGAGGCCGGGGGCGACACCCACCTCGTGCTACGCGCAGGAGGACCTGGACGGACACAGCAACCACGCGGCGCTGCATGCTGGTACCGCAGCGTTGTCAGCTGCGGGCGCCTCAGGGCGCTGGCCCTACGCGGCCAGAGGGCCCGGAGGGAGAGAGGACCCAGTGATAGTCAGAAGAAAGCGCAGGTGAGGGAGGTCGGCCTCGGAGGGGCCACCGTTCCCGACGTCGTGACGAGGGCGCTGCCGCTGGGCATGAAGCCGAGGCTTGGTCCACATACGGACATCTGTCGCCAACGTCGACATGTCTGCCACTCGCGCCATCTTCGGCCTCTTCGGCAAGTTCCACGTCACCTGGTCCTCGAGAGTCTCATGCGTCGCGCGCAACAACCGTCGTTAAAGCCGCCAAGCTGGCCACCAGTCACATCGACAGCCTGCCGAAAGGATCCAGCGTGTTCCTCGTCGCTAGGTACGCGGCCGAAGTACCTCGTGGCCTACCAAACCTATGGCGCTCTTTCTGCTCCCGTGCCAACCTCATCCTCAGCCGCGCCCTCGACGCCGAACACTGCGGCGCCGCCGACGGCCGAGAACAGACAATTGCGCAGGAGGGCGACCAGGCGGGCTGTCGCCGCCGACGCCTACGAGAGCGAAGGCGAATATGGCGGCGACGACGGCGGGGAAGACGCCCTACGTGACGAACGAACAACACACATACCCGGAAGGGGGGGGGCGGGGGCCATGGGTGCGTGTTGTCGGATGGGGGTCCCCGCTCGAACGGGAGCCTCCCCAAGGGTCCAAGGGTTCGTCAACCCGCACCCAGACCCATAGCCAGTCCTCCTCCCCCCGACCTCCCTACGGGTATAGGTGTGTGTGTCGTTCATTCATCACTATGTGCAACCAGCCTTGTCAGGAATCATGCGTGTCCCCGCCAGCCCTGACGGATCCGCGTCCAAGACCTCGAAGGACGACCCAAGGGCATCTCCATTCTTGAGGTTCTTGCAAGTTTGGACAACGACTTTGCGCAACGTTGGGGCAAAAACCACATTTTGAAGACGACCCGCGCTCCATCCGCGAAGCTGTTGCACATGTTTAAGGCATTTGTGCACGGCGCTGTGACGAGAGCCACATGTTGAACAGAATCCGCCCTCCATCCGTGAAGTCATTGCAGACTTCGAGAACGAATGTGCGCGGTGCCAGGGCGACAGTGACATTTTGAAGACGACCCGCCCTCTATCCAAGCGTGCAATATTCGCAACACCTTCTGTTTCAGAATCAGAATGTTGAGAACGTCTCAGGTGAAACGCCCAGCCCACCCTACCGACAAGTTTTGGGGTGCCACAGGAAATTCTTACTGTTAAGGAAATTGAGCGGACTAGAAGCAGGACAAGGAGCAGAAGCAACATGTGTAATCAGAAGGAGACGAGTGGAGAGCGACAGCATGACCAACGGCAAGAGGAGGAGAAAGAGAAGGAGGAGGAGAAGCTCCGGGAGGAGGAGGATGAGCAGCACGATGAGGAGGAGGAGGAGGAGGAGGAGGAGAAGAAGGATCAGCACGAAGAGGAGGAGGAGGAACACCAGGATGGAGGAGAGGAACAGAGGGAGGAAGAAGATGAGGAGTAAGAACAGGAGTAGAAAATGAGGATGGAGATGATGACGAGTAGAGGGGGAGCATATCTGGGAGCTTGCCGCCGCACCCAGTGCCCAGAAGCCGCGCGCGCAGCGCGGCCTGGGCATGCTTTGCGTGCGATCCTTGTCCGGACCAGGAACAGGAGCAGCAGGCCACCGAGATGCAGGACGGGGGGGAGCAGCAGGACAGGGGGAGCTGACGGGGAGCAGCCTCAGCAAGCACTTGCCTGTCTGGCTGATGCTTGCTGATGCTGCTTTAGATCTTCTCTCTCCTCTGGCAGAGCCAGAGGAGAGAAAGGAGGAAGAGGACAGGAGAACGAGCATGAGTGTCGCATCCTCATCCTCCTCCTGACCGTCTCCTCTGGAGACGGAGGATTGGGAGGGGCAGTAGAAGGAGGAGGAGGAGGAGAAGTGGAATCATAGAACTATACATGGGAGGATCACTGCGAGGAAAACCTGGAGGACGATGAAGATGATGATTGGAAGATGGCGATGACGAGGACGAGCAGGAGGTTCGAGTTGGACAAGGAGCTACACTTGAATGGGGAGAAAACAGGAGATCGAGGGGAGGAGGAGGAGGAGGAGGAGGAGGAGGAGAAGGAGGAGGGGGAGGAGGGGGAGGGGGAGGGACAGGAAAAGGGGATGAACAGGAGCAGGAGGCGAAGGAGGTGGATAAGATAACGGAGGAGGGGAGAGGAGGAAGGGGAGGAGGAGGAGGAGGAGGAGGAGGAGGAGGAGGAGGAGGAGGAGGAGGAGGAGAAGGTGGAGGAGGAGGATGAGGAGGAGTAGGGTATACGTAAATGAGGCGGCGGAGAGGCATCGGGAGAATGGTCAGGACAACGAGGAGAGAGTGAGAGACAGCGAGAGAGAGAGAGGAGATACAGAGAGAGCGAGGGAGAATGAGGAGAAGGAGGATAGGCAGTGAGCATAGAGGACTGGGCGGAAGATGAGGGAGAGGAGCGCGGCGACGCTCGGAGCGGCTGCCGCGGAGGCCCGCCTAGGGGACCGACTTCAGTAGTCGGGCTGAGGTATAGACCGAGGTCGGTGCGGGGAGGGTACCTTGTAGGTGCCCTAACGTTCTTCGTGCTTGTTGGACGTTTTCGTGCATCCTGTTGAGGGTGCCCTTGGATGTTCTGTGCGTTTTAGCCGGAGGATTCTTCCGGCCAAGGTCCGACCGTAGAGGATCGATTACAGCATTGGTTTTCTCTAGAATGTATGCGTTCGCCGGGTCTACGAAAAAAATACATCGGATGTTCGTAGATCTAGTTTCTGTTCTGGGGTAAATAATCAATTCTGGAGTCGATCCCCTGCTCGATTTCTCCGATTCAATTCGATGTCAGTGACTTTCGATGCCGATTCGGCTCGGCTTCGGACTCCGACTGGGGCTCCGAGGTGTCAGCGGAGGCCTTTCTGGCCTGCCGATTGCCGCCGATCCGACTTCTCCCGGCTCGGCTGCCGGTTTCCGCCGATCTGATCCATTTCCATTGCCGATCCGACTCATCGATCCGATTCTCGGCTTTCCTGCCGAGGTGAACGGCTTCTGCATGTGCCTCGCCTTCCACCCGACGAAGCCAGGACTCAGAGACGTGAGCCAATGGCGACGGGAAGTCAGATGACGAGCTTGTCCCAGAGGAAGAGAGCGTTTTCTCATTCCTGGGGGTCAGCTGGGATCGTGACTTTATCTGGGGGTGGTGGAGGTCCTGTAACGGCCGCGATCGTGAAGCATCCGAAACGTTCTTCAGGACTCAGAGACGTGGTAACTCACGACGGAAGCTGTTTCATGCATGTTATCGGCCTTTGGGGCCCTCGCGGGGCCCCGGGACTCGGCATTGCTAAAATCAAGACGTCCCATGTTTGAGGGGTCGGTCAGTGGAGGGTGAGTTGAGACATCGGTAGTTGGCTTTTTTCGGGCGGGAGGGCCTCGTCGCCACGGCTGGACGCAGCTCGGAAAATTGGCGCGTCCTGCCTCCCCTGTCTGCCGCTCTTTGACAGCGTGTATGCTTCTTTCGGCGGCGAGCCCGGGGGTCAGTGGAAGGGGGTGGGCCTTTTCAGAAGGCTCGGAAGTCCCCCAGCCTTCTCCGGAGACGCAACAAGTTCTCATAATGCGCGAGGGCTGATGAGAAGTCCCGCCGCCTTCTGAGAAGGCCTCCTCCTCACTTCCCCCCCCCTCGGTCGCCGCCGATCCTCCTCTCGCCCCCGCTTGCTCCTCCTCATCGTCCTCCCTCCTCCCTCCTGCTCCTCCATCCTCCCCCCCCTCCCGCCCCTCCCCCTGCTTCTGCACGGGTGGCTCTGCTTGGAAGGAGTGAACATGGGATTCACATTTGACGGGTGGGCCTTCTGTTTTTCGACGCCGCGGTTCTCATCGAGTTCAGGGGGTGGCATGCTATGGTGTATCATTCATTGTGATGGCCGTAATCTGTGTTACCTTGCTTCTGCACGCTACGGAGCCAGTCGAAGGGTCCCGTGCAGCCCCAAGATTGGACGACTGTGGATCGGTGCTCGTCCCCAGTCAGCCACGCGCAGAGGAGGGCAGGGGAAGGGTGGAAGGCTTCTTAGAAGCACCCCTGCGTCTTACACGGCGCAGGCCTTGTCTAGAGATGTAGGGCCGGCGCATTCTAAGAAGCAGCCCCTTTCTCAGACGCTTGCCTCCCCTCGCCCATACCCCCTGTGCGCGCCGCCAACTCATCCTCCCTTTATCTTCTCTGCCACATGCAATGTTCTACGAAGAGCCCAGTGCAGTCCCAGGATTGGACGACTGAGGATCGGTGCTCGTCCTCATGTTCCCCCAACTGCGGTCGGACCGAGGTCTAAGATCGAGGTCGGTTCCGGGCGGGGGCACCCTAACGTTCTTCGTGGTTGTTGGATGTTCTTGTGCATCATTTGGGAGGCTCGCACCCTCGAAGGTTCCTCCGTTTGGGGCGGCGGAGGGTCTCATGTTTTTGAAGGGTGTTTTTCCGTAATCGATCCAGCTGTACTCTGCCACGTACGATGGTTTACGCTCGGAGAGACGACTGGTCGCAAAAGTGATGGAGGCTCTGCTAAAATGGCTAGGGCCCCAGCCAAGAGCACGGGTGTCATCCTCCAGCTGAGGGGTGGAGGCTCTGTTAAGATGTCGCCAAGCGCACGGGTGCCATCCTCCAGCTGCTCGTCGTCCATGTTTGCTGCTCGTATGGATCGCCACGGGGGAAGCGGGTCCTGAGGGAAACGGGTCCTGGGTTTTTGGTGTCGTTTTCGGGCTCTCGGGTCCCTCCACGGTTCCCGGGAATGTCAGAAAACGGCTTAGGATGAAAGTCTCGTCTTGGGGGAAGGCCACAGGGTCCAGGACCCGTTTCCCTCAGGACCCGGTTCCCCCATGTTAATATGGAGTTTGACATTCACCTCTCCCTCCTCGTCCTCCCCTTCCTCCTGCCTGTGCGTGTGCTCCCCTTCCCGCCCGACCTGAAGTCACCTGGACTGCGTCAGGCCATCGGCGGTGTTCCTCTTCCTCCAAGTCCTACCCTCCTCCTCCTCCTGCTCCTCCTCCTCCTCCTCCTCCTCTCAGTCCCGCCTCTGTGTGGACTGCGCAATAGGCTGCCTGACTGCTTTGGAGCAGGTTGCGTGGGGAAGGCGAGGAGAAGTGGGAGGGAGGGAGGGAGGGAGGGAGTGTCGGAGAGTGAGAGGAGCGGAAGGGCGGGATCAGGGGAGAGGAGCCTGAGAAGCAGGAGGGAGAGGAGGAGGAGGAGGAGGAGGAGGAGGAGCAGGAGCGTCGGGGCGTCACTCCTTGGCGTTGGGTGGGGGGGAGGGGCACTGCTCTGCCGGTATTCTCGGCGGCTGAGGAGTGCTCGCCGGCGGGACGTATAACGGCGAGTTGCTTATTTGGGACACGGCCAGCTCGGAGTTGGACCCCCTGGTGGCTCCGCCCAATGAGCGATGATGCACCAGAGGTGCGTACAGTGGGATCCTTTACAGTTACAACAATATAAAGCATACATGTTCAGAGCATTGTGCGGATATCCGAAAGTGATGTCATGCTTATGTGGTATTTGTCCTTCTGATGATCCACCAGATGTGCGTGCAGAGGGCGCGTGTCGTGTCGAAGCAGCGGCGACCCCAGCGCGGGCGTTCGCGTTTCAACGCCACCAGTGGGCAGAATCGGCCGACGTCTATCGATGCGGAAAGCCACGATCATTCAGGGTTGAGCGATCCACGTGATGTCCGAAACCAGCGCCGAGGTCGTCACGACACGAACAGGCCATAGCAGAAGTGAATGCCTGCTCGGCAATCGCAGCGCAAGAGGTAGCAGGAATATCCAGCTGCCTGCGGCGAATTCCGCCACCGTGCCAGCGCAGAATTCTGTGTGGACACGCCTTGAGCGCCGCCCAAAAGTCCGTCACATGTGACACGTCGCGTGTCTATCTATTGAGAGGTGTTCATTACGTCTACCTGGACTTCCTTGGGCTCCCGTTGGGCAGTCATAGGGGGGCATCCTGGGGCCGTCGTGTGGCCCAGTTCCGCTGTTTTGGGGCCTCCTGGGGACGTCTTGAGCTTTTTCTGACCGCCCAGGGAGTCTTTGGGACATGCTTTCGGAGCCTCTTGGGACCCTTTGGGGACTATCTTGGGGGTGGCCTGCGCATGCCGTATGTGAGGCCTCTCTTGGCCAGCGTGTTTGCCGTTTGGGCTTCTTTTGACCCCTCTTAGGCCTTCTTGTAGCCATTTCGAGACGGGAGGCCTGAGGGAAACCCCACTTCTCTAAACTCAAGAGAGAATAAATCCCCCCCCACACTAACCAGGATACTTTTTACATGTTTTCCGGGGTGTTTGTGGACTTAGTCGACACGTCCCCACGGCGACGATTGCGAGTTCTGACGTTTCTAGTTTCACAAGTCGTGTTCTTTTTGTTTAGTTTCGTTATGAAACAGTTTAGCTTGTTTTGTGGATGCGTTTCTTACTTTATGAAATTGCGCCGCTGGACCTGCGCGATGGCGCTGTTTGAGCAATGTCCCAGGCAATCTCGTGCACGGCAGTCTTGTGTAATAGAAAGTGGTGGGTGTTTATTTATCGCGTGTTCTGTTTGAGATCAATGTGTTTTTCCGGCACTCGGGCCAGGCCATTAAATCCTGCCAGTCTGGCAACACGAAGAGCCGGGGTCCTTGTGAATGTTGTTCCTCTCTTGTCTTCGTCCCCTTCCCTCCTCTCTCGTCTTCCTCCTCATCCCTCCTCTTTTCTCCCTCCTCCCTACTCCTTCCTCCTCCGCCATCGCCTTGCCTCATCCCTCCATGCAGGAGGAAGAGGAGGAGGAGGAGGGGTGAGGGAGGGTTCCTCTCCCCTCTCTCACCCTCCCCCTCCTGACCCCTTCTCCCTCCCCCCCTGCCCCCGTCGTCCGCCGCACCTTCCTCCCTCCTATCTCCCTCCTCCTCCGCCCTCTGGACCCCCCGCCCTGAGACTTGGGGAGAGCCTCCCTCCCTTCGATCCCTCCCTCTGGACCTCCCTCTCTGGGCCACCCTTCTCCACCTCAGGATCCCCCCCCCTCTGGACCCCTCCTGTCCTGGGACATCTGGAGGCCGCAGGGAATATCCGAAGACCTGCCGACGGCCTCTGGGAGCTTCGAGGGACTCCATCCCTTCTTCTTGGGCCGGCCGCCCGCTTCGCTGAAACATCCACCTCCCAGACGCCCTCCCAGACAGCGTCCTGACTGTTCGCTCAAAGCTGCGCCCCGCCACGGCCACCAGCCCCCCCCGAAGCCCAGAAAAGACCCAAGACCTCAAGATCACAAAATCAGATTCCCCCCAGTGCCCTCTTCCTATCCCTTCCTCCTTCCCCTCCCTCTCCTCCTCGTCAACCTTTCATTCCATCCTTTCCTCCTCACATCTCATCCTCACCTCTCATCCGCATCATCCTCCTCATCCTCCTCCTCCTCATCATCATCATCCTCCTCCTCCATCCTCCTCCTCCTCATCATCATCATCATCATCATCATCATCATCATCATCATCATCATCATCATCATCATCATCATCATCATCATCATCATCATCATCATCATCATCATCATCATCATCATCATCATCATCATCATCATCGTCATCATCATCATCATCATCATCATCATCATCATCATCATTGTCCCATCTGAGATATGTATCCCTCTCTCCGTGCCGCCGCATCTCCGCAGTTTCTTGGTCTAGCCAATAGGACTGGCCAGCCCACTGCATGGGCCAGTTCCTCTTGGAAGCGTGCTTCGGATACGTGCGTGATTTTACAGTGCAGCTTCCCCCCGCCGAGATAACCCGAGGGGCTGCCGTGGGACTCCTGCAGTGGTACGGCGGCCCAGCGCTGCCGAGCGACGCCCTGGTGTCGGCAGCCTGCGAAGGCTGGCGGACAGCGGCCGAGGGTTTTGAGAAGAGGTTCGACGTGGCCATAGACAGCTGTCGTACGTTGGCCTCCCTGGGAGCACGCCTTGGGCTGATCGTAGTGCCACTCCTGCTCTTCGTGGGGTGCTGCAGCTGCTGTGCGGGCTTCGCCGTCGGCCGTGTGAACTATGGGGAAGTTCGGCGTCAAGCCTCCAGACTGGTGCCGAGGTGGTCTCCGCCCGGGATCATTCGTGCTGCTGAAGTACGCGGGGGACACGACGTGGCACACGAGGCTATTGATACGGGAGGTGGACTCGGAGACGAAGTGGTGGTTCATCCTCACCCCGGGCGAAGACTTGTATGTACGGTTTCGACCCCCCACCTGTCGAGACGGACCTCGACGGGCTGATGTCCGAGACGGAGCCTCTGATGGACAGCGAGCGCGGGCTGCTGGGCCTGCTGCCGCTGCCGTCCCCACTGGCGGGGGCACTGGTGGCGCTCGCGGGCGGCACCGCCACGCCTCTGCTGGATCTGGGGGCCCCGCCAGGGGCCAAGCTCTCGACGCCGCCCGGCACCGTCTGGGTCCTCGCGGAGTCCGCCTACGGCCGCGAGAAGGGGGGACGAACTGCTCTCAACGACACGGCCGTGGCCTCGGGCGACAGAGGGGCGCTGGAGCTGGAGCCAGGTGCCTCGATCGCCATCGCTCGTGTCGAGATCGGCCGTGAGGAGGAGTTCAGAAAGGAGCAAACGACGAAGGAGATGAGCATGATCGACACCGAGACGGATGCCAGGGTCATGAGGGTAAAGTACGCCAGAGGCTCGGGCAAACGGCACCGAGACTGGAGGGAGGTCCAAGACGGCATCGCCGAGGTGCCGCTGGTCGACCTGCCGATCGAGGGGCCTCGGACGAGCAGCTGGTGCGTGGCGTTCCTCGGACGTGGTGCGCACGGCGGCACCCCCCTAGACCACCACAGGTGGTGGCGTCATGCTGCCAAGCTGAAAGCCGGTGACTGGGGGGTGGCCGAGCACGAATCGGTGATGAAATCTTTGACCTACGCAGGGTCGTATGACCAGCTCGACCTCGCCAACCTGGCCTGCATCGAGCACTTGTGCAGGCGGGCCCGGCTCATCGAGTACTATCACCGCGAGAAGATCAGGGGCGCGGACCGCAACGCCCTGGGCAAGAACGCGCTGCCCTTCGACGAGCAGGAGATGTTCATGGGCGAGGGCCGCGGGGGGCATAGAGCACGTGTCGAGGGAGCTGGAGAGAGAGGCCGCAATCGCGAAGCAGGCGCGCAAGGCCCGCGAGGAGCGGGAGCTGGCGCGCCCCAAGAAGCAATGACTGAGCCACGGTCGCCGCTGGGAGCCCGGCAGGCGGCGACTGGGCGCGACGCTGGGCGCACGGGGCTTGACCACCCCCGCGCAGCTGCGCCGGTCATCGGCCCTGGCGGAAGGCAGAGACAGAGGGGAGTTTTCCCTCTCGCCCCCGCCTCGGCGCTGGATGCTCGGCTACCGAGCGCTGGAGCTGGACGCCGACATCGTCAAGTTTGCCGCGCGCTGGGAGAGCTCGCTGGCGGAGGGGGTAACGCTACTTTCTTTTCAGAAGGCGCCGCCCCAGCGGGCGCCGCCCTCGCCGCCGGCGAGCTCGTGGCCAACAGGGTGGTTGACATGAGTGAGCCGCCGAAGGGCCTCTCTTCTTCCGCCGCCTTCAACGAGGTGGTGAAGTCCGCCGACTACCACGGTGAGCGTGTTGACGTTGCTGCTATCGATCTTCGCCTCCTGTCTCTTCCTCCGGAGGGTCATCGGCCAGCCCCACTGGCTGAACTTCTGGGGAGTGGGGGCGCGCTGGAGATCGAGCGATTTTGTAAGGAGCTTGTCTGGCCAAGTGAAGTCGCGGCCGAGATCAAGGCTTCGCTCGACCTGAGGCGGCCCCACATAGACCGCGGGCCCGCGCAGCGACCCCGCCTCTACTCTACGCCAACCTCGTGGAGGCTTTGTTCAAGCGCGGGCTCATCGACTTTGGCACAGACGTGCGCTGCGAGTGTGGAGTTTCTGGAGCATGGAAGGAGTCGGGGAAGCAGAGGATGGTGATCGACGCCCGCCTCTCGAACGCCCACTTCGGACACTCGAAGGAGACGCCTCCCCCGACGGCGGCCGCCTTCTCGGAGATCGACCTCGAGGGCGAGGCCGAGGCATGGTTCGCCGCGTTGGACCTGAAGGATGCCTTCTACTACATCGAGCTGCCCATCCAGCTGCTCTGCTACTTCGGCCTGCCGAAGGTGTCCGTGAAGAAGCTGGGCCTTCCGAAGGACGTGCTCGGCTTGGCCGTGGACGGGCGCCTCCAGCCGAGGTTCGCCGCGATGCCGATGGGGTGGACGCGCGCGCTCTACTGGGCGCAGCCCGCCCACTGTCGCATCCTGACGCGGGCCTTTCCCGACTTCGAGGTGGAGGGCTTCCTGGCCGACAACAGGGTGCTGCCGTCGGTGGAGAAGGGGGTCATCGGCTTGTGCGTCGACAACTTCGTGGCGGTGGGCCACTCTGCCGAGGCCGCCAACCCGTTGGTGGCCCGGGCGGCGGATGCCTTCCGCAGGGCAGGGCTGCAGCCGCACGAGGAGGTCGCCGCTACCCAGGAGCTGGAGTTGCTCGGCTGGCAGTTGCGTGGAGGCAAGCAGGCCGGCGCCCAGGCCACAGACCGTCGCCGCCGGTGACTGCGGCTGGCCCTGGAGCACGCCCTGACGCGGAACAAGCTCTCGGGTCACGAGCTTCGGGAGTTCGTAGGCCATTTTATTTTTTGTGCGCTGGTGCAGCGGCCGACCCTCTCTTGCATGAATGCCGTTTACTCCTTTTCTCAGAAGTTCCCAACTGAGCTCCACAAAGCGTGGCCGTCGGTCCGCCGGGAGCTGCGATGGGCACGGGATCTTCTGGCACTGCAGATCAGGCCCTGGCGGCGCGAATGGTCTAGCTGCGTCACTTGCACCGACGCCTCTGAGCTAGGACGAGGGGTGGTCGACGCCCACCTCCCCGCCTCCGTCGTCAGGGAGCACGGTAAATTGAATGAGAGGTGGAGGTTCAAGAACGGAGGCGGGCGGGTCAGCGCTCGCGCCGCAGCAGGTTTTGTTCGTACAGATGCTTCGCCGCCAGAGGCAGGATAAATTCGAGGCACTCCCTCCGTTGCAAGGCGCGGAGACCCCGCCTTCGCCACCTCGTTCCTCGCCCTCGCCTACGACCCCCGCGGGCTCCAAGATGGGCCTCCCGGAGATCCCCGAGTTCCCCGTGCTACTCAACAAGAACGACATGCAGGGGCCCGAGGACCAGTCAAAGGCTCGTTTTCCCGGAGATAAACGCGCTCCTGGATATGAGTTCCCTCTCCTTCCTCATGACGATGGGCATCTTCTGGGAGATCCCTGGGGCATCGTCGATGCAGGGAGGTGGGGGAGGAAGGAGCACATCACCGTCTTGGAGGGTAGCGCCCTCGTGTGGGCCCTCAGGCACCGTCTGCGGAACACGAGGTCGTTTCATGTCCGTCTCCTCTTCATCGCCGACCCGATGGCGGCCATTCGGGCTTTGTGCAAGGGGCGGAGCAGCTCGCCAGGATAGTGCTCGGTCTGCCGACAGTGGGCCGCGCTATGTCTGGCGAGCGGGGGGGTCCCCGCCTTCCGCTGTGGAGCCCAGCGGGCGGTCCGTCCCGGCCGGCCTACGCTGGCCGTCGCGACGATGGCGTGGGCGGCCTTCCTGAAAGAGTCGAAGGTGCTGGACAGGAAGTGGTCGCGCGTTGGTGCTCCGCCTGGGCGGGCGACTGCGGGCCTCAGCCGCGGCTCCGACCAGGAGGACCTGCTCGCTTGGCGGCCCGCCAGCAGAAGCACCGTGTCCGCGCCAGTGTACGAGGACCAGCTGCCCCGAGCTGCGAGCGCCCTGCGGGGCGCCAAGCGGGGCGCGGGGCGAAGGCGTCCCATCGCGAGGATGGGCCGCGCAGCCGCGCTGCGCCTGGCGGCCCACGGAGCCGAGAGAGGGGCCCGCAGAACGGTCTTGGAGATGCACGCCGCGGCGCCCATCTCCAGGCTCCAGTACTCCAAGATGTGGGAGAGCCTCCAGGACTGGTCGGAGTGCCACATGCTGCCGCTCAGCCCGCCCAGCGCCCTCAACGCGACGCTGGCCGAGTACCTGGAGCACCTGTACTTCGAGGGCCGCGACGCGGGGATGGGGACGTCTCGCGTCACGGGCCAGCCAGGCTGCCGCGCGCCCGACTGGCGGTGCAGGGATGGCTAAGGCTGTCCCCGTTCCGAGCCAAGCTGCCCACCCCAGCGGAGGCGGTGACCGCCATCGTGGTCGCCATGTGTGCCCGAGGAGAGCGGAGAGCCGCGCCAGGGGCGCTGCTGGCAACTTCCTGCTACCTGCGGCCCGGGGAGCTGGCCGCCGCGCAGCTCGCGGACCTGCTCCCGCCGGGGGCCTTCGCGGGCGAGGGCCACGTCCACTGGGTGTTCCAGCTGAACAGGTTCGAGGAGGGGGAGCCGTCCAAGACAGGGCGCTTCGACGACTCGATCGTGCTGGACGACCCGAGGTACATCGCGCTGAACAGGCTCCGCGCCCAGCTCAAGCGGACGGCGCACCCAGAGGGGCCTCTCATCGGGGAGGGGCAGCTCCACTACGCAAAGCTCTTCGGCGAAGTGGTGAACGAGCTGCGCCTGAACATCCTCGGGCCGCCGGTGCCGCACCAGTTGCGGCACGCTGGCGCGTCGGACGACCGCGCAAGCGGCCAGGGGATGCCGGTGGAGATCAAGAAGAGAGGAAGGCGGCTGTCTGCCTCGTCCGTGAGACGGCACGAGAAAGGAGGACGGCTTCGAGAGCAGCTACATCGCCTCCCCGCCGGACTACAGGCCCACTGCCGCGCGTGCCACCTCATGCGCGGCGAGATCCTCCTCGGGCGCTCCAGGCCCTTGCCGGTGCCGCAGCTGTTCCGCTGATCCCGCGACCCCCAGCCGTCTTTCTCGGGATCTTCTCGGGGGGTGGGAACCTTTCGCGTGCCCTCGGACGTCGAGGGTGGCTGTGTCTAGAGCATGGCGAGAAATTCACATTCACTAAGCATGCAAATATCCAGTTGATCGTTGGGGGGATCACCTCAGGATTTTTGCGCGGCCTGCACCTAGGGGCTCCCTGCGGCAGCTGGAGTCGGGCTCGTGATCGCCCGAACGGTCCTCCTGCCTTACGTAGCAACGGTGATATCCTGGGGATATCCCACATGTCCAGTGCGACCCCAAAAGACAGGGATAATATCCTACTAGGCAACACGCTCATGAGAGCACCAGCCAACAAATTTCGCAGCTGCTTGCACATGCAGCTTCCCGGCTCGCTCGAGAATCCTCGCACCTCACGGCTGTGGATGGCGCCGCCAATAGCGCATCTCCGTGGCCACCCCCAGGTGCGGGAAAACATTCTGGACTTCTGTGCTTACGGCACGTCATGGTGCAAACGCACGTGTTTTCGGCACTGGCATGATGACCTCGCATGCCGTGGCCGACTGTGTGCGTCCAAGCGTGAATTTTGCGAGTTTTCACAGCATAAGCACGTCGAGCTCGTCGGAAAAGGCAGCCGCGGTGTGTTCCTCACCTCCGCGGCCGATCCCTATCCTCCCAAACTGCGTTCCGCTCTCGCTGCCTGCTTTTCAAACGCTGATGCGTGCAGAATAGTCTCGTGTCTTGACATGGCGGCCTGCGGCCAGACTCTTGTTCGGTAAATTTGGAATTGACATCCGTTCACTTCGCTATCAGGGAGAGGGCGCCAAAGCCCTTCGAGAAGCCTTTGCTGAATGCTGTGTCGCCTGGATGAAAAGGAAGAGCGCCGCTGCATGGTTGTCTGGCAGAGTGAGGGAGGGATTGCCCCATCTGAGTTATGTATCCGTCTCTCCGCGCCGCCGCATCTCCGCAGTTTCTTGGCCCCCACCCACGGGCCACCCTTTTGATTCTGCTCAGCTGCCCACTTTTAAGATGCTGAGCTATATCTTGAATGCCCACATTCAAGCTCTCATATTATTCTGCACTCTCTTTTATTTCATATTATCCTGAAGTTTTTGATCTCGGTCTTCCGCCCAGCCCCCTGTTGAGGAACGGACATCCTTTCACTTCGCTCTCAGGGAGAGGGCGCCAAAGCCCTTCGAGAAGCCTATGCTGAATGCTGCGTCGCCTGGATGCAAAGGAAGAGCGCCGCTGCATGGTTGTCTGGCAGAGTGAGGGGGGGATCATCATCGTCGTCATCATCATCATCCGTAGCCATTTGGGCTCGAGCCATTTTGGCGTAAGGCTCTAGCCTGTGCCCTGGGGTGAGAACCTTGGCTGCTGCCGACGGGGGGGCTCCGGCTTCTTGGGCACAGCGCCCCATTCTCACTCACGATCCCTGTCGGAGACCAGCCCTGGTCGCGGCAGGCCTCGCGAATCAAGCTCACTCCCCAGGAATGTAAGAGGCCGAGAGGGTTTCCCCAAAAAACCTCGAGGGCCTTGTGGTTGCATTCCTTGCTCTCTTTCTTTCTGTTTGTATGTATCCCTGCCGCCGCTAGTTATTTTCGAGGTGCCGTTTGCCTCAGTGCTTCGACATTGTTCGACGCTCGAGCAATATTGATCAGCCATCATCTCTCCGATTTCCATATTACAGTGTAATTTGGAGCGGGCCTGCGCTGCCCGGCGCCGCGCGCCCTCCATATCAGCCGCGACGAAGCCGTCATGTACCACCACGGAATCGACGCCCAGCGGCGTCCGAGCCCTCATCGGCCTGCTGAGCCTCGCGCTCAACTCCGCCAGCGCCAGCGTCAGCGACGCTAGCACCTACCTGTGCGAGTAGTCGCCCGACGTCTGCGACGTCCATTCCAGCGCCTACACGGTCGTTGATAGCGTCAGCGACGCTGTCCACACCCCAGACGTCTGCGACGTCAATTTCGGTATCTACAAGCTCAACTTCGCCAGCGTCAGCGACGCCAGCTTTTACCTGTACGAGAACTAAGACGTCTGCGACGTCAATTTCTGCATTTACAAGCTCATTGATAGCGTCAGCGACGCCGTCTACACCACAGAGAACGTCTGCGAGTTCAATTTCAGCACCGACACGGTCGTCAAAATGGCTGACCATCACAACAGTAGCAACCAGGTCATCCTGACCTGGAATGGTGACCCTGCTCAGTGGCGCGACTTCAAGCAGGAAGTGAAGCTCTGGAAGCTCAGCGAGAACCTGGAGGTGACGCAAGGCCTCGCATCCAAGTTGGTTCTTCGCCTCGCGGGCGCGGCCCGCTCGGCCGCGCTCAACGTGCCCAGGAATGACTTGCACCCGCCCGCCGACGACGCGATTGCGGATGCCGGCGAGAAGCGGCGCGAGAAGCATCGACAACGCACTGATCACCTCGAGGCCCACCTGGGCCTGCAGAAGCCCGCGCAGAAGGGCGAGGCGCTCGAGAAGTTCTTCGAGTCGACGCAGCATCGCCGTCGCCGCGGAGAGCGCATGACGGATTGGCTCGTCCTATTCGAGGCCGGGTTGCAGCATCTACGCGAGAACGGGGTGGACCTCAACGCGCTCGACGACGCGGCGGGGCGGTTCATGCTCCGGAAGGCCGGTTTGACGGCCGAGCGCCGCGAGCGCGTCGTAGGCAATTTGCCCGACGAGCACTACTCCTACCAGCGCATCCGCGGCCTGCTGGTGCGCATGTTCCCGGAACTCCGCGCGTCCGAGA